GAGAGAGAGAGAGAGAGAGAGAGAGAGAGAGAGAGAGAGAGAGAGAGAGAGAGAGAGAGAGAGAGAGGATGCTGACAGGTGTTTTGAATTGGTATGGTAGATGTATTCTTGATATGGAAAGGACATGCGTCCACAGATGGACAGAGATATAAGCAGACAAGGTACACGCCAAAAAGTTATCGGGCGTTAATGTGAAATCTGTTCCATGGATGCTTTCCTTGTTTAAGGACTTCACCTTGGTTGTATCTACTGCAGTGAATTCACATTCACTCCTTGCCACCTTGGTACTTCAATTTTTGTCAGCTGTGTGAATTTGTGAAACTGCACTGCGACAGCTTACAACCTGTTGCGATGTAGAGTAATTGAAAAAATGCAGCCCAGCTTTTCAAACGTTTTTCCTTTTTTCGTTCCCCCATGGACTACGGACTACGCATCGGAATATTTTACTGATCACAACAGATACTACCCTCTATCTTAGCCAAAACTTCCAAAAGTTTTTTTTTTTTTTTTCAATCTTCTTATGCAGGAAAGAGTTCGAAGGCAAGCCAGCTTTGTGGGCTGATTGTTGACCGTTGATAAAGCTGTTTTTTTTTTTAAAAAAAAAAAAAAAAAAAAAAAAAGCTGTTCTGAGCCTTGCTGAATTGGTCCACCCGTGAAGTGCTGAAACACAGACCTGACTTTTTTAAGAGGACCTGAGTTCGAAAAATGATGGATCTTGATGAGTGAAAAAAAAAAAAAGAAGAAGGTAAAATCATAAAAAACTTAAAAAAAGTTGAAAAAAACTTGAAAAAAGAACGACCAATGAAGATAAAGCTGTCCTGTTCAGAATTCAAAGTACTACAGTTTGCAGAGCTGGCTCTTGTTTTCATTTTGTTTCCATCTTGCCCCCCCTTCAATTTTCCATCTGCCCCTTGTTCTTGGCGTTTTTCGTCCACGTCTCTTCTCTATCTCATCATCTGACTTGTGCCACCCCCTGCCATCAATTCCCTCCTCCCTCCTCCTCCCTCCTCCTCCCTCCTCCTCCCTCCCCCCCCCCTCCCCTCTTTTTTTTTTTTATTTCCAATTCTCGATTTATGCGTGTCATCCTTGCACTCTGTATCGTTCAAATTTTAACGGATGTCCCAAAGGACATTCCTGGCATCCCTGCCCTCTTTTTTTTCTTTTTTTTTTCCCTACCATGAATTTTGTGTTTAACAACGCAGTTTGTCTCTGGAGACGATAAACGACCATAAAAAAATCAAAAAAAACTTGTTTGACAACGCGTTTTTTCTTTACAGCACTCTTCCCCAGAACGACCGTAAAAAAAATTGATTTTTTTTTGAAAAAAGAACGACCATAAAAAAGTTGAAAAAAAACACCATAAAGAACGACCATAAAAAAGTTGAAAAAAACTTGAAAAAAGAATGACCAATGAAGATAAAGCAGTCTTCCCCGGAACGTAAACACAAGACGAATGTCGGTCCCCACTTGGAAACGCAAGCATCGTGAACCCGCCAGCGCCTCGTGTGCCTCGCCTGCACGCGCGCGCGCGTGTGTGTGTGTGTGCGTGTGCGTGTGTGTGTGAAACATCATTCCCCATGGTGTACTCGCCACGCACCCCACCATCACAACGGTACCTGGGCCCTAGTTATGTCCCAACTAACCCTCGCTTCTGCCGCTGTACTTCTCTGAAGCTACCTCATACATCCGTGGCTTTACTACGAACGGCTTTCCAGAGTCGCACATAGGATGGTGGGCATGGGGGAGACAGGAGGGCAGATCACGCGCAGACAGATCAGACAGGCAGGCCCAAAAAGCAAGTCCCAAACAGATGCCAAGACCAGGAGGAAAACAATAGGTGACAAGCACACCAGACAGGCGAACTAGAAAAAGAAAATACAAGTCCCAAAAGAAAATGCAAAGATCGAAAAAAAATAAAAGCTGATGATAGACTGCTGTTTCGCTGGAGTCGCACCGACTCATCAGGAGGCTGAATGCTCGACAATCTGCAGAATCCCCGTATTGATGGTCTGGGTCATGAACCCCTTGCCCTTGTTGAAGGCAGACTGTCCCCAAGCGGAACACAGCAGCAGGCACCAACTCAGCGAAGCGCACCAGGCAACACTGCCGAAGCAACCCAACTGCGCAACGGCAAAACCTAACTGGATGGAACAACAGGGCAAGTGGACAAGCAGCACAGCATCGGCACAGCGATGCACAAAACAACACCGACACATCAGCCGCACCAGACAGCACACAAGCAAGGGACACGAAAGGCGAGGCATGCGGATGGGCAGTGAGGCAGCGGCGTAACAAAGCAGAGGGCAACACCAACACCGCAGCCACACCACACAGTGAACACAACAGGTTCCAGAGGATGACATGCGATGCAAGTGGGATGGGCAGCAAGGCAGCGGCAGAGCACAGACAAGGCAGTCTACACCGCCGACACGGAGCGAAGCAGCTCATCACCTACTCACATCACGGGTAAGCTCGGCAGGTTGTTGGTTCCCACCACCCAATGAGCCAGGGAGTCAATTCAACGAACACCCATCATCACCTGTAAGGCAGACAGAGACATTCCAAACTGAGCAGCCCCCCTAAGAGTGCTGCAGGCACTCCAAACAAGGAATGACCGACTATTTGGCACTGCTTAAAGGTGCACAGTCGGGCAGACAAAAAGCACAGAGAAAGAAAAAAAAAACAGAGAAAGAACCAACAACAAAAGAAAGAAAGACGCACATAAAAATGATCTTGTGTGTGTGTGTGTGTGTGTGTGTGTGTGTGTGTGTGTGTGTGTG